GACTCCTGTGTCCTCCCAAGCCTAAACCAGAAGGAAGCTGAAACTATGAATAGACCAATAACAAGGTCAGAAGTCGAGGCAGCAATTAAGAGCCTACCACACAAAAAAAGCCCAGGTCCAGACGGGTTCACAGCCGAATTCTACCAGACACACAAAGAGGAGCTGGTACCATTCTTTCTAAAACTATTTCAAACAATCCAAAAAGAGGGAATCCTTCCCAAATCATTTTATGAGACCAACATCATTCTGATACCAAAACCCGGCAGAGACCCAACAAGAAAACTTCAGGCCAATATCCATGATGAACATAGATGCAAAAATCTTCAATAAAATATTGGCAAGCCAATTGCAACAGCAAATCAAAAAACTTACTCATCATGATCAAGTGGGATTCATCCCGGGGATGCAAGGCTGGTTCAACATACGCAAGTCTATCAATGTAATTCACCACATAAACAGAACCAAAAACAAAAACCACATGATTATCTCAATTGACGCAGAGAAGGCATTTGACAAAATTCAACAGCCCTTTATGCTAAAAACCCTCAATAAACTTGGTATCGATGGAACGTAATTCAAAGTAATAAAAGTGATTTATGACAAACCAACAGCCAATATCATACTGAATGGGCAAAAACTGGAAGCATTCCCTTTGAAATCCGGTACTAGACAAGGATGCCCTCTCTCACCACTCCTATTCAATATAGTACTGGAAGTTCTAGCCAGAGCAATCAGGCAAGAAAAAGAAATAAAGGGTATTCAAATAGGAAAGGTGGAAGCCAAATTGTCTCTATTTGCAGACGACATGATAGTATACCTAGAAGACCCCATCGCCTCAGCCCAAAAACTCCTGAAACTGATAAGCAACTTCAGCAAAGTCTCAGGATATAAAATCAATGTGCAAAAATCACAAGCATTCATCTACACCAACAAGAGACTTAAAGAAAGCCAAATCAAGAGCAAACTGCCATTCGCAATTGCTACAAAAAGAATAAAATACCTTGGAATACAACTCACAAGGAACGTAAGAGACCTCTACAAGGAGAACTACAAACCACTGCTCAACGAAATCAGAGAGGACACAAACAGATGGAGAAACATTCCATGTTCATGGTTAGGAAGAATTAATATCGTGAAAATGGCTATACTGCCCAAAGTAATTTACAGAATCAACGCTATCCCCATCAAGCTACCATTGACTTTCTTCACAGAACTGGAAAAAACCACCATGAACTTCATATGGAACCAAAAGAGAGCCCGCATAGCCAAGTCAATTCTAAGCAAAAAGAACACAGCGGGGGGCATCACACTACCGGATTTCAAACTATACTACAAGGCTACAGTAATCAGAACAGCATGGTACTGGTACCAAAACAGAGATATAGACCAATGGAACAAAACAGAGGCACTGGAGGCAACACAACATATCTACAACTATACAATCTTTGATAAACCTGACAAAAACAAGCAATGGGGAAATGATTCCCTGTTTAACAAATGGTGTTGGGAAAACTGGCTAGCCATGTGCAGAAAGCAGAAACTGGACCCCTTCCTGACACCTCAGACTAAAATTAACTCCAGTTGGATTAAAGATTTAAACATAAGACCTGGCACGATAAAAACCCTAGAAGAAAATCTAGGCAAAACCATTCAGGACATAGGAGTAGGCAAGGACTTCATGAACAAAACACCAAAAGCATTGGCAACAAAAGCCAAAATAGACAAATGGGACCTAATCAAACTCCACAGCTTCTGCACGGCAAAAGAAACAGTCACTAGAGTGGATCGGCAACCAACAGAATGGGAAAAAATTTTTGCAGTTTACCCATCTGACAAAGGGCTGATATCCAGAATTTACAAAGAACTCAAACAGATTTACAGGAAAAAAACAAACAAGCCCATTCAAAAGTGGGCAAAGGATATGAACAGACACTTTACGAAAGAACACATATATGAGGCCAACAATCATATGAAGAAATGCTCATCGTCACTGGTCATCAGAGAGATGCAAATCAAAACCACATTGAGATACTATCTCACGCCAGTTAGAATGGCAATCATTAAAAAATCTGGAGACAACAGATGCTGGAGAGGATGTGGAGAAAAAGGAACACTTTTACACTGTTGGTGGGAGTGTAAAATTAGTTCAACCATTATGGAAGACAGTGTGGCGATTCCTCAAGGCCTTAGAAATTGAAATTCCATTTGACCCAGCAATCCCATTACTGGGTATATATCCAAAAGACTATAAATCGTTCTACTATAAGGACACATGTACACGAATGTTCATTGCAGCACTGTTTACAATAGCAAAGACCTGGAATCAACCCAAATGCCCATTGATAATAGACTGGATTGGAAAAATGTGGCACATATACACCATGGAATATTATGCAGCAATCAGAAATGATGAGTTTGTGTCGTTTGTAGGGACATGGATGAATCTGGAGAACATCATCCTCAGCAAACTGACACAAGAACAGAAAATGAAACACCGCATATTCTCACTCATAGGCGGGTGATGAAAAATGAGAACACAAGGACACAGAAAGGGGAGTACTAAACACTGGGGTCTATTGGGGGGAAAAGGGGAGGGCCAGTGGGAGGGGGAGGTGGGGAGGGATAGCCTGGGGAGAAATGCCAAATGTGGGTGAAGGGGAGAAGCAAAGCAAAGCACACTGCCATGTGTACCTACGCAACTATCTTGCATGCTCTGCTCATGTACCCAAAACCTAAAATCCAATAAAAAATTAAAAAAAAAAAAAAAAAAAGAACAGCTTAGCCCAGTCATCACATGGAACCATGAGAAATAATAAATTATGGTTCAAGAAAAAATTGATTATAAAATTGGTTTGGCTTGTTTGGTTGAGTAAAAAAACCCTGATTATATATATCTGATGAAATAGCTTCTAGAATTAAAACTAACTATAAATATAAAAATTAAGTAGATTAAAAAAAACTATATACATGTAGAATCTGATAACATTTTGATATTTCCTGATAGACTAATCTGCATCTCAGATGATAAGAAGGTAAGAAGGAGATGGAGACAGAAACATAATTTCACAGTTTAAAATTATGAAAAAGCCATGCATTGTTTTGGAGGCCAACTACCATACTGAGCCATTGTCAGGAATTAGAAATATTTTGATTCTATAAGTCTGATCGCTAGTTTATAAGTGATAGAGTCTCAATCTTGGTTTTACAACATTCCAAAGTTTTAAAAATTTTTCTGGGAGTATTGTGAAATTTCCAAAATACCAACCATGTTATAGTTTTTCATGAAATATGTAATTTGTGGGAAAAGAAGTCTTTAAATTGTGAGATTAGGTATCTTCTGCTCTCAAAGGTTGGAGACTGGCAGATTATGCCACCTTCTTACGTGATAATGATTAAAATTGGAAGGATTTTTTTCTTCTTAATTCTAGGAGAAGTGACGGGTTTTTAATATACCTTTAAAAGGAGGTTTTGCTAGCTTTCTGTTGCCTGAGGATGGGGGTAATGCATAGTGTGATTTCCTGCCCTGGCCAGCAGAGGCCTCCACGTGCCTCCTGAAGTCAAGTTTTCCTGGATTCAGGAAGGAATGTGAGACCAACGCGTTGCCTGTCAAGGACAGCAGGGATCACGTGTGAGGGCAGCATGCTTCTGAGACTCCATTCCATGATTTCAGCAGATGCGCCTGTACTGAGGCTACCTGCTCTGTGTCAGGCAGAAGACAGGGACTAAACAGAAATTCCTTGTAACACAGTGCTAACATCAATAGTTGCGTTTGTATTTGGGTGAGGCCTCCCGGCAACTCCTGTCAAAGGCATGTCAGTTCTGGGGTGGCTTCAATTTTGAAGTGTGCACAGATAAGTTATTTCAAAGAATTTACAATTGGCCTTGTGACCTGCCAATAGGAAGTAGTTGAAGGGACAGCGTGCTAGTTCTGAGGCTAGCATTTAAGAGGCAGGCCCTGTGCATGTTGTCTGTTGTTAGGAGGCCAGGATGAGACTGTAAGAGGGATGTGAGCAACTTATAGCCATCAACTCAGTGGCCCCAGCTAACAACCAGTAGACCCCAAGAGCAGTGAACCCACTGCTGAGCCACCTAGCAGATGCATGAGCATGCTTAACCGAAATTAGCTGAACCTAGCTGGTTAGAGGACAACTGCTCTATAGTTCTCTTGACAATTAATCAGTAATAAATAGCTATTATTATATTTTTTATTATACCTTAAGTTCTGGGATACATGCGCAGAATGTTCAGGTTTGTTACATAGGTATACACGTGCCATGGTAGTTTGCTGCACCCATTGACCCGTCATCTATATTATGTATTTCTCCTAATGCTATCCTTCCCCTAGCCCCCAACTCTCTGACAGTTCCCAGTGTGTGATATTCATATGTTCACATTGTTCAACACCCAGTTATAAGTGAGAACATGTGGTGTTTAGTTTTCTGTTTCTGTGTTAGTTTGCTGAGAAATGATGGTTTCCAGCTTCATCCATGTCCCTGCAAAGGACATAAACTCATGCTTTTTTATGGATGCATAGTATCTCACGGTGTATATGTGCCATGTTTTCTTTATCCAGTCTGTCATTGATGGGTATCTGGGTTAAACAGCTATTACTTTTAAGCCACTAAATTTGAGGTGGTTGGTTGCAAACTAGCAAAATAATATACTCTAATTATAATCATAGCAGTCATAAAGCTATTACTGATACTTATTTCAAGATGAACACTACATTAACAAAATATTTTAATAATATGAGACATAATATTTCATCAATCATGAAGTGATTACTGATACTTATTTCAATATGATTACTATTACATTAACAATATTTTAACAATAATGTAAGATTCATATGGTCTACTTTGGAAATAATTACTAAATTTTTCTTGATGCTTGGTAGAATTAGTAGAAGACAATGACTCCTCCTATGATATTAACACCTCTCTACCAACCTACTATATTTTTATAAGAAATGTACTTCAGAACAGAAAGTGTTAACTCACAGTCCTTCTGCAATGCACTCCAGTAAAAGCACATTTCCTCTTAATTCCTCTTTGTTACTTGCATTGCCTTCTGGAGTTAAAAATGTTGGTGGCCTCTCTCTATTTGATTTAGCTGCAAACAAGAAAACCAATATGCATTACAACTTATAAATATGCATTCCCATAAACACAGTTCATTATCAAAAAAGCTGTCTAAAATTCGAATCCCTTTTTAAGCTATTTAATATTAATTGTGAAATTTGACAAGCTACACATACATACTCTCTGCCTTATAAGTAGTCATCACTCACTCAGTTACCCAGGAACAGAAACAATTTTGGTTGCATAAGCACTAATAATAAGGACTGTTTTTCTTTTGTGTATTTCCTTAATTTGGGTTAGGTTTTTACAAATTTTCTGTGGGTTATAAAATTTTCAAAATGTTGACATGGAGAGGAAAATCATGTCATCAAACTATATTTCCCTTAGGATTAGTGCTTAGGGCAAAGCAAAAAGTAACTGTCTATCTTTTGGAAAACGTCAGGTTTTTATAAAGATATGCTTATAGAAGGGGTATTCTGGTTTACAGTGGGGACATCATTATAGCCAACACCACTGATTAATCATATTAAGATCCCCAAACTGCAACGTTTATGGAAAACAAAAAGTAGAGAGTTACTGACTGAGGTCTTGCAAATATTACACCACAAATTAAAAATAATGTTGGCATTAAATAAATGGAAATAATTTTCCTGAATGAAAAGATAAAGAGGGTCCAAGTCAAAGATCTTAGGGATAGTTATACAGGCCATCTTCTTTTTTATGGCAGCCTTTCCCAAACGTAGCCTTATCTTCTGAAGGCTTCTTAGGAGAACTTGAAGCAGAAATGACATCGTTGTAAGGTTTTTCTAGCCCTTAAAGATTTTCAGCTCTTTAAGGCATTATCTACTTGATACTTATAAAAAAGGAATAAAAAAGTAATATAATATGAATTATTCTTATTTGTAAGAAAAAATTCCAATGATAGAAGAGGTTTTGCTTGAGAGAAATTAGTTTTCCTAAGAATTTAGAGATTGTGGGGGTAAACCTACTCCTTTAAAATCACTTTGGGGATGGTCTTGGGGCCCATATTTTTCAGGAGTATATTCAAATAAAATAAAATAAAGTAGCAATTGTGGAGCGTCTGTCTTGGTCACTGATGAGACCTTAATGTCTTTTACTCAAATCTCAAGAGTGAAAAATTAATACACAAGCAATTCTGTCTTATGGATAATTAAGAGGACCCTATATCCAAAACCCATTATTTTCATTCATAGACTCTACATGAGAACATTTCCCATAAGGAAATCAAATTCATTTCTATCTAAAATAATGAAGTTAAATGCTCTATTTTTAAAAAGATTACTTCCATTGAAGACAGTGACTTGGTCTGACTTGCTTTTAAACAAAACTAAGAGAAATGGTATTGCTAATTATATTGATAATGTCACATGAAAACAGATGAGAAATGTAATGATTTACTATGAAATCCACTTAATGTTAGTTGCTAAAAGCTTTGTTGAGTCAATATTCTAGCAAGTTAAAGCACCCTGCTAACTCTTACTTAGTTCACAAGAAAAGTTATGAACAGAACAAAACATGGAAAACATAATTCTGAACATATGTGAAAGATTTTTTCCAAATCAGTGAAATGGTTCTTTACATGAAAACAGTTACAACAGGTTTCATTATTATACACACGTCATGGAAAATGCTCTAGCGTCATGCTTCAAAGTTTAGAGCTAAATTTCTTAAGAAACATACATTTATACTAGTGGTATTAAACATGTAACTAGAAATTTCATAAAGAAATAAGGTTAAATAGCCATGGAGGTGAAGTTAGTGAACTAAATTCTACAATGAAGGAGAGAATATCAGTCACAATCACCATAACTCACCACCATAAAACTCAGTGTCACTCAAATTAGCAGCTATAGTGTCATTCAATTCATCCACTGAAATAAACAGAATATTATGAAGAGGGCACAAAAGTAGCAGAGAAGGGTCAAAAAGTATTGGGCAATAAAAGCAAAGGTATGCAGCTATGCTGACTGACTGCTGCCCCTATCAAGTAAATACAGTGCTTTTACATTGTACATGACTAACTGTTTAATTTACTCAGCCACCCCCAACCAGGAATATGCGGACATTTAACTTAAGCTGCAGGACTACCAATAAGAGGCATTGTGGAGCATAAAGCCCACACAAATGCTCAGAAGACCAGGTGGTTCAGAAGGTTATCACGGAACCAGTCATGACAATAAAAGCAAGAAACGTAAAATCCAGTATTTAGGGTATGCACAATCTTTGTAACACATATGCCACTTTAGTGAGCATTCATGGGTGGTTTCCTGATAATGAACCTGTTTACTTCAAACTCAGTAGTATATAATAGCTTCTATATTTTACACATACTTGTAAATGCCATTAAAGGAGAGATTTGGGAAGCTGAACTCTTACCAGAAATCACCTTCACAGAAATAGGTTGCTTCTGCTGTATGGTTTGAGTATGATTAAATCTGGCATAACAGATATAGTCTTCACGGGTATCCTCTGGGAGGACATTGGAAAAATAAAGGTCCCCATTCAGACCTTGAGAAACTCTCTCACTTTGTGGAAGTCTTTGAAAGGCTGGAGAAAGGCAGAGAGATATCCAGATTATTCCATCATAAAGTGTCTAACCTCCAAATTAGCAAGATAAATGTATCTACTAATAGGTCTGTGAACTTCATTTGAATATATTTTTTCTTTATATAGTTCTTTGACTAAAAGCAAATAACTGTAAAAAAAAATTCACAACACACTAAAACTCTAACTCTACCTCCCTGACCATACCTTCTCTGGGGTGGGGGCAGAGGTGAGATTAGAGTTATACCGTAAAGTGTTTTATTAAGCAAATGTAAGCAAAATACGTTTTCCAAAAAGTTTGTGTGATTTTCCTAATATCTAAATGAATCCCTAACTGTTAAATAAACACACACACATATCTTAAATATTATCATTAAGGAAGCTTCTAAAAATGTTAACGTGGATTGCATCTACACATAAAGTTCAGAAACTAAATACATGGAGAGCATCTAATGGTGAGCTGGGTCCTGTGTGAGACACTGGGCATGCCAGAGTCCCAGCCCTGTCTGAGGTCATCATCCAGTTGAAGAATCAGACAGCAAATGGGCAGCTAACAATAATTGGGTGTGACGTGACACTACTTTACTGCTGCAACCTGCCCTTCCAAAGCCTCCCAAGCAGTTCCTCCACCTCCTCTACTCTTCTTTTCTGAATTGCTTATCACCTTCTGGCGTGCTACATATTTACTCATCATACATATGACTTATTGCCAGTTTCCTGCCTTAGAATTTAAGCTCCAGGACAGTGGACACTTTCATCTGCTTTGTCCACTAGAACAGTGCCTGGCCCTTCACCCCTTCACGGGGCTCCTTTAAATGTGCATTAAAGGATTAAGTGAGTAACCATCAACACTCTGACTTTCCAGTGTCAAGCACAGTAATTTATTAATACTTCCCCTCAGGTCCAGTTAAGGAACTATCTTGCCTTAGGCAGGAGGATTCTCTTTTTCTTTTTCTGGACACATAATAAACTGTACATACTTGTGGGGTACAATGTGACATTTCAATACACATATACATTGGTAATGATCAAATCATGGTAATTAGCATATCCATCACCTTAGACAGTTACCATTTCTTTGTTGTGAGGACATTCAAAATCCTCTCTTCTAGCTATTTGAAATATACAATGCATTACTGTTAGCCACAGTCACCCTACTGTGCAACAGAGTATCAGAACTTATTCGGAGGGAAGATTTTGTAAGTGGATGAAGGATGCAGGGCGGTGGAACAACTGATCTGTGTGTGGGTTCACACTTAGCCAGCTAATAGGCTTCCTGAAGCTCCTGACTTAGTCCACAGAGCTTTATCTGTGAGACTTCTTCAGTTCTGAGGTGACAGAACTGAAAAAAGTCACACCTCCCAGTGGCCTCAGGCAGGTGCTATGTCTCCTGGCAGGGTTTTTCCAGTGTGAGTCAAGCAGGTCTGCTCCTCCTATAGCAGGTACTTGGCCTAACATTTCACAAAATGCAAAATTATGGTTAAAAGTGTGGAGCTCCCTTAGGCAGAAGAAGATAGGGAAACGTGGAGGCAGAGCTTCAAAGAAAGAACACCGGTTCATCATGAACCAAATTATTGGTCAAGATGGGGGTTTGGTTGGCGGTTGCAAATTTATGGTTTTAAGCCATTAATTCCCAGGAAAAGGAGTGTTTTAACAATAACTCAAGCCGGGTGCAGGGGCTCTAAAAATGTTAATGTGAGTTGCATCTACATACAATGTTCAGAAACAAAATACTTGGAGAGCTGGGTCCTGTGGGGATGACATGTCTGTAATCCTGATCTCAGGTGATCCTCCCAGCACTTTGGGAGGCCTAGGTGGGTGGATTACCTGAGATCAGGAGTTCAACACCAGTCTGGCCAACATGGTCAAACCCTGTCTCTACTAAAAATATGAAACTTGGCCAAGTATGATGGTGGGCACCTGTAATCCCAGTTACTCGGAAGGCTGAGGCAGGAGAATCACTTGAACCTGGGAGGTGGAGGTTGCAGTGAGCTAAGATTGCACCACTGCACTCCAGCCTAGGTGATAGAGTGAGACTCTGTGTCAAAAGCAAAAACAAAAACAAAAAAAGACTCAGAAGAATTAAGTACATTTTGTTTAACAAAGAGTTAAAGACAAAAATGCCTTTACTGTCCTCTGTTTCTCCTGCTGTGGTAATAAAATAATAAACTGAAGGGTGTTGGCAGACCAAATGTTAGGCAATGGGACTTCATGAGGGTGGTGGCATTTTGCACTGCATTTGGAAAAAAAAGTACGCAGATAGGAATAACTTAATGTCATCTTGTAAGAAGTATGCTATATGGATCTAATTTTTTTCTCATATTGCAGGTGCTATTCCATTTGAAAGGTCAGATGCTTCACCAACAACCTAAAATGTATGTGGGTGTTTTATCTAACTGTGTAATGTGGGGGAAAAATTAGTAATGTATGCAGATGACTCTGAGACTTTACATGTGATATGTCTCTTAAGTAAAAAGGTAATTATTTCTGAATAAGAACCAAGGACCAAATATTGAGACTTATTTTGGCAGTGGCATTTGGAGAGTGTTAGTCTTAAAGCCATAAATCACTTTTTTACATTTGGCTTACTACTTATTTTTGGAGAATCTGTAAAAGATTCATTTAGTTATATATTTATTTTTTATTTCTTTGCATTACTTTACTTTCTCTGACTGCTTTCATGCAAGAAGAGTCAAAAAATGCATCCCAGTAAAATAAAATAAAAAATAAAAAAAATGCACGTTATATATTACAGCCAAATTTTCTCTTTAGTAACATATATGTCTTATGAGTGCACAGGCAATCAGGTCACTGAAAATAGAATGTATTTCCTACAGATTCTTTGAACTCATTCCCACCATTCCACCTAAAAGACTCTTAGCAGGATTACCCGGAACCTCCAAGTTGTCAAATTCAGCAGTCATTTTTTAGTTCTCATATTATCTGATCTATCAGCAGCATTTGAAACAGCTGACTACTATGTCTTTCAAAAATATTTTCTAAAATTATTACCATTTTTTTAGAGATAGTGTCTCACTCTGCTGCTGGGGCTGAACTGCAGTGATGTGACTGTAGCTCACTGCAGCCTTGAACTCCTGAGCTGAAGCAATCCTCACCTCTCAGCCTCTCGATTAGCTGGGATTACAGCGTGAGCCCTGCCTGGTTATTCTGTCTTTCTGACACACATTCTTCACCTTATTCCTGGGACACCACTCTCTCCATTCTTTTCTTCCTTCAGTGACTGCCTCTTCTCCTCTGTTTTGCTGGTTTCTCCATGAGTTTTTCACCTCTGGGGGGCTCCTGGTCTCAGTCTCCCAGACTCTGCTCTCCTGCTCCCCAGATCCTCTCATCTAGCCCAGGTCCTCTGGGAGCACTTATGCACTAAGGAGTCAAACACTGCTGATCATAGCCTAGAATCTTCCTTCTGATTCAGGTATCTCTGACTCTAGTTGGCACCTCACAATGAAATATCTTACAGGCCTCTCACATCCCAAACTCTGGTTTCTCTGTCTCCAAGCAGAACCATGTGCTCCTTCTAAGGTAACATGCTGGCCTATTAGCACAGGAAATTTTGGAGGGTGGAAGACGCAGAGAAACAAACATTCCCTTGAGGACAGAAACAGGGGTAGATAAGTTTGAAATTGCCTAATGGATGGCTTCATTCTCTTTGCCTCAGTTTCCTCATCTGGAAAGTGGAAAAAATAATTAGACGTGCCTCATTAGGTTGTGAAAATTAACATGGGTATAACCCATGTTAAGTCCTTAATAAAGGGCCTGACACTTTGTAAAGGCCCAATAACTATTTTAGTTCTTTGTGGATTCTGGCTAGATTATAGCACTGGCCCCAACAATCTCTACTCTCTCTTTTGTCCACTATGCTCTCTACACATCAACTGAAGAGATACTATTACTACTTATTTTATTTCAGATAAAGTCATTCCTTCAACATTTCCCTGCTTCATTCCAAGCTAAAGCCAAAGCCCTTCCCACTGAGTCCCTGTGATCTTTTTCACTCTCAGACCCTTCAGTCTGGCCTCCTTGGCCTCCTCACTCTTATTTTTACACACACCAGGAAAGCTCCTTCCTTAGGGGCCAGCACCAGTGTTCCCCTTCTACTCAGATATTTAGGGGCATGGCTTGCTCTCTCTCTCATCTCCTTAGGTCTCTGCTCAAAACTCTGCTTTATTTTTTTAATATAACTTATTGCCAATGAACACTGATTTTCTAAATGTACTTATTGCATTTATCGTCTGCCTCCTTCCTCACTCCCCTCCACTCCCACTGCAAGGAATATAAGTGAGGCACATAGTAAATGTTCAATAAAATTGAGTGAATGAGATGACATGTTATTTATTTTGAAGAGCAGCTATTTTCCTGAGCATCTCCAAAACATTTTATGAATCACAAAAGGTAATAATGTATTATGACAGCAAACAATCCTAAGACTTAAGGAAAGAAAGTTCATATTATCAAAACTTACAATTATCCATCCAAAATATTATAGGTGGTGGTAATCCAATTGGGGGTCTGCAGGGAAGTACTAAAGATTGACCATTTTGAAGTGTGATTGGTTCAAGTTTTTCTTTGGTCCATAATGGTGATCCTATTAAATATATATAAAAAAACTTCTCAGCTATTTCTGCATTGAAAAGTACAAAAAGAAAGCACTACAGATAAAGGCAAACTGAACTTTTGGAGAAACAATTTGTAATTTATGCATACTAAATTAATTAGAAAATAAATTTAAAAACAATGTTAAAAGAAAAAAATAAAAATTAAAAACATGACAATTCTCATGCATTACCACTGATAGTATACATTCTCAGTCAGTGATTCACAGCTGAGAATTTGTACTAAATACACTGTCAGGAAGACAAGCAGTTTTGACACAAGCATGTTCTTCACAAAAGAATGGAAAAGACTTAAATGCCAAAAGATTTGTTAAATAAAGAATTACACATCTGCTCCTTTGACTACCACAGAGTATCATATCAATATACTTATTTATAAGATGGCTATGGCAATATACATGATACACCAGTAAGTCAGAAAAAGTTGTAAGATAGTATTTCAGAAAATGAGCCGGTTTTAAACACATACATACATGTCTGCCTAGGAAAAAAATGGAAAGAATATTTGAGCAGTAGTTATTTTCTTGAATGGAAGGATTTTCATGAACAGATTTTTAAACTTTTTTAAATTTATAATTAGTTTTTCTACAATGAACATGTACTACACATGTAATACAGTTTTTTTAAAGAAATGAGCAGAACTGAAAATGTGATTAAATACATGCTGTTAAAGTTTTTGAGAAGATTTTGGTACTAACCATTGCAAAAGGAGCCATAATAATATTGAGGTAGTGAAGAAACCCATTTTCAGTAAAAATTTGAAACAAAAATATTTAAAGAAATAGCATTTAGACCTTGAACACCATATAATACTGAATTTATTTCCATTTGACTGCAAGAATTACACTTTTATAGGGAATACATAAGAAATAAATAATTAGATGAACTGAGGGAAGAAACATTTTTTTTTTAACCCTGATTTCTTACATAGGACTTGTAAAAAGGATACACTGGGTTGGTAAAGCATTAGGTTGAGAAGCTTGTTAGGGTAAGGTAGAAAGGAGCAATAATTTTCATGTAAAACAAAGTCAGAATATTGGAAGCAATGCCACTGCTTTCTTAAATAGTATCTGGATGATGTCACAGAAGCTGAGGCTTGGAGCAATATTTTAATCAGGGTCATGATGGTTTCCACTTACGGGATGGGCGGACGACAATGTTATTAGAAATGGCAGCTCCGCGTTCATTCCTTGCTGTACACTGATAGACTCCTTCGTAGGTCTCAGCTTTCCCTTCACTCATAATATTAATTATGAGAGTTCCTGTGCCAGGCTTCATGGTGACCAAAGCGTCTTTATCGATGTCAAAATGAGTCCCATTACGGGTCCAGGAAAAGCTGCCCAACACACAAAGGGTTACGTGTATTAATGGTCCAGAAAAACAGGATTCTTTTAATGAATTCCTAGTAGTTTTATGGGTTTCTAGAAATAATTACTAGATTTTAATATTCAGCAAAAGAGCAATAAGTCCCCATATCTTAAATGTTTCATTGACTCATGACCTGGAAACAAAGGGCAGGGTATACATTTTAAGGTACCTGTCTTCGTTACAAGTAGCCCAAATCTGACTTAATAAAGAAATCATGCACACTAATTGCCTGTCATTTTTCTTAGCAAATAGAGAGAGCAGGTCTCTCAGGTACACTCTCTTAGAGCTTTATTAGCATTTTTACTGTAAACTCCATTGTTCACAGAGTTGATAACCTGTCTATAAGAATTTGCTCAGGGCTGAAATGTGACAAGATCTCCACAAGTACTATTTATATGTGTTGAAAATTCATCAGACAAATTTCAAGTTATTAAATTGTGGAGTGTAGGTCGGGAGGAGGCTAAGAGATATAAGTTCCAGAAAAATAGTAACTCTACATAAAACACATTTTGAGAATTTTTAATTCTAGAGATGATTTTGTGAATCCCTTGGGAGGTATGCCCAATTGTCAACCAAGATTCCTCTTTTTCCATTTTATTTTTATAAAAGATTGAGTTATATAAAAGTCATGGTGCTCATGTAATTAAATATTTTACAGTTAGTCACAAATCAATGATGGCCATGCTCATACAAAGGCACGAATCTCTAAAAGTCACGGTGTGTTCCGGGCCCACTTGGATTTCCCTTCTCACTACTTATCTTTAGGGCAGTCATTGTCACAATCAGGGCAGGATGTGGTGGTGCGGATGCAACTACTACCTTGTGGGCAGAGGTCAGGGATGCTGCTAAATATCCTACAATGCACAGGACATTTCCACCCTTCAAACAAAGTATTATCCCACTCCATAATCAATAGTGCCGAATAGGTGAAATTCTGCTTTACAGTGAGATACAGAAGGCATTAATTGTGAAACTGAAAGGAAACCCCATCAAAGGATATCACATCAGGCCATCTGTGAGAGGGGCTTTCCAATAATATAGCTGAATATATTATTTTGAGGCAAACCTTTGCTGGAAGTTTTGACATAGTGTACTGTCAGTACCAGTTAATTTTTTCTTGGGGGCCAGTTTGTGATAGTTTAACAAGGCCTGCAATAGACAAACTTGGAAATAACCAGAAACTTTCACTTCTTTATTACTTAAAAATCCATATTACATTTCAATAATAATAATCCAACTCTGCAAAACTCGCATATATGACTGGAAAAGTTACAGATGGTGCCTTGAATAAGTTACTTAGCATTAGCAGGCATCAGCTTCCCACTACACAATGTATTGGTTGGACTGGGTTACCTCTAACATCTCTCCCAACTGTAAAATGCTATGCAAGATCCACATGGCATGAATCCTCAGGACTGACCTCTGCCAAGTTTGGAAAACCATTTAAGACTATTTTATAAACTGTTATAGAGACAACAGAGATCTTGGAAGTCATCAAATTCAACCTCTTTATAGATGAGGATATTAAAGCCCAGAGAAAAGGGATTTGCTTGTGCCTTACGGCCATTAGTATCAAAACCAGAATCAGAAGGCTCTTTCCGTAACTCCCCACAATTTATGAGCATTTTGCAGAAAGGTATGGGCATGGAAATGCAATAATCTGGGTTTTTAAAGAAAAAAAAATTGGGCTCTAATAAGCAGAGAGACAATAAACCTAGAGGTAAGACTTTAGGGATATGCAACCCTCCAATATCTTTGAAGGGCTGAAATGGGCTGGGATAGATGAACCAAAGGGCAATGTTGAGTCACGGTGAGAAACAGCCCACTCAAAAAGGAAGGGCTCTACATAGCCTGCCTTGTTTGACGGAAATTCCCAAATTTATTTCTCTATTCAGAGAAATTTCCTGATTTATTCTCAGTACGATAACCAAGCAGAACGCACACTTACCTCGGGGGCGGTTTCCCTTTGGCCTCACACTGGATTACAATATTCTCCCGAGGGTCAATAATGTAATCTTTTGGAGACTGTTGGGTGATGGTTGGGGGTTGTACCACTTAATTGTAGGAAAAAAAAACACACATGTAAAAAATAAATCATTTAAAATCATTAATAGTAGACAATTTTTTTCTGTATCAAAATCACTTACCTTAGACTAAATATACTTCAAATATTTTTAGTAATTTCTAGTGTAGCAGCACATACCTCAGTAGACTTTTCTGCTAAAGGTCTGCTAAAACTGCGAAGTCAAGGCATAACTTTCTTTTGGTAACTACGTGCACTTGCAAAGTCCATTTTCCCACACTAAAAGTTTGGGAAAATAATTATCAATACAAGCCTAATATTAAGACAGTTTCTTTTCTGATGTAACAATGAGAAATTCTTCTGATTCCTTTGGTTCAAATGATGGTTTCCAAGGAAATTTAAGTTATGAGGTAAATTTGCATCTTTCTTAGGAAAGAGTAACAGACTTAGTTCATTGTGTCCTCATATAAATCAATGTATGCTGGGAACAATTCCATTTGAGAAGTTAATATTAAAAAGACTGTTAAATTAGAGATGTGACATCTCTTATCAGAGCCAGGAGGTAAGTGAATTAGGAACAAAGATAAGAGTCTTACTTAGAAGATAAGTGGAATTGAGAAAGTTCTCTGTCCTAGCAGAGAGTGTTTCCATTTCACTCTTCAAAGTGTTATCTGATCTTTTATTATCAAATCATATGGGGAAACTGTTCTGACCCAGAACAATCTAGTCTGAAGAAAGCTGTATCTGGACCACCAATGCTCTTCAAGGCATTCTAAGATCACCATGTCCTTCTTCTTATGAGATCAGAATTAGTGTTATGACAGGAAGAGACTAAAGAATAATTTATTACAACCTCTTCTTTTCTTACTCAGGGCAGCAAAATGGCTTGACTTGGAAGGCACAATGCAGAGGAGACCTAAACTCTCTCAACTAGCTCCGGGTAGGAAGCCACTGCTTGCACAACTCCATGGAGAGCTGTTTACACAGACCAGTGGTTTTCAATCTGGGGCAGTTTGTTTCTGCCCTTCCAGGGCCATTTGGCCATATTGGAAGCCATTTCAATGTTCTCAACTGGGGAGGTGGTGATAGCGGCATCTTGTAGATAGAGGCCAGGGATGTTGCTAAACATCTAACAACGTACAGAACAATTCCTCACAACAAAGACTTATCTGGTGTCAAATGTCCATAGCGCTGAAGCTAAAAAGTCCTGGGGCAGACAGCAACGTGCTTGGCACCCCTGGAGCTGTGCAATGCAGTGGTCATACTACAGCCTGCTTTCCTCTGCATCCTGGAACTTCCCTCAAGGCCCTCTCTTGGATTCTCACTGTACTTTCCTTTCCTGGTACATTTGACATTCTGCTTCATTGAAGTTTTTCATCTTCTGGATCTTCCCTTTCCTCTCTGTCCATAATCTCCTTCCTTTGTGAAACCTTTTCCACTTGTCAACCAAACATTTCTCAAACCTCAGTAACTGTCCACTGTTCTTGTCTCTCTTGTAATTAATTGTTGCTACAGCTAAATGTATCACGTCCACATCCTAAGTCTTATAAATCTACAAACCTAGTGCTGTCCTCTTGTCTTCTAGTCTTATTGCCATCCACCGGACATGTCTTACTAAATATCCAAATAACAGCTAAAATACAACTCAAAAGCTAGCCTCATTACCGTCATATTTATTGTGCATCGTTACATGCAGGGTACTGGGCATTGTCAACTTCCCTTCCTTTTGGAGTATCCCATCCCCCTCGTTGTATTTCCAGCTGCCCTTCCCACCTCTGTCATGCATATGGAACCCTCATTTTTCTAGCCTTGTCAGTTTTCAATGCTGACTAGCAGTGTGGTCTGATTGTTAAGTCTGTTGGTTTCTTAAAGCTTTGAGACTTCAAGCAAATTTCTTAACTTCTATAAGCCCTAGTTTCCTGAGAGGGAAAATAAAGTTTAAAAGTAGTATCTACTACCTAGGGTGACTGGCAGGATTAAGAAAATAATTTCTATAAAATTCTTAGTATATACCAGTGCTATGATGGTTCAATAACATCAGCTATCTTAAAAGTATTATCATAATTATTTTTATTCAGACCAGATTCACCTTCAAATGATTCTTCAGGCTCTAGGAATATAGAATTTGGGATAATGGAAGGAAGCCTGGAATTCCACATCCAAGGAATAGTGGCCATAGGCAGTGGGGGAGGGAATTCTTAGGAGCAACTTCGTTCAATTCCTTGTGCTTTTCTGGGAGTGACACAGGTGCAAATTTGGTGGCTTCAAAGGCAGAGCTTCTATTCACAGATTTGCAGCTGAGCTGGCTTAGACGCCACCCCTACCTACCAGGAGTTTACTGTCTGGATGTACCTCCTTAAACAGTGCATAGGTCACCTGGCAATTAATAAATGCTTTACAATAGGGAAAGAAAAGTGATTTTATATAATTTTCCCAGTTAATCTGATATCAAAGGAAATTATCAAATGCCTGAAAATTGACTATTTTTAAATGAGGTGATAAACGCCACCTAACTGTTAAAGGCAGTGGAGAGTTTTGCTTAGAGCAAGCTACTCCAAAACCATGTGAGTTGGAGCTGCTTATTTTTTGCCCACTTCAAGATAATATTCAAATTCACTGGGCCAGTCTGCTGATGGCCTAGAAATACTAGTCTGCACAGTTGTGAAGACTAAAGAAGTGTAAGAGGGCATATAGCTGCTATCTACTGCAAAGCTTTTGCCTGCACCCACCTTCTAAAACACTCCAAAAGACTTATCTTTGATCTGGAAAGTATTTGTTAGCCTTTACAACAGATCATCCTTCTCTCTAAATTTTGAGAATTTTCTCATTGAGTTACATCAGATGTGTATAAAGCTTGAAAGTTAGTAGAGCAGCATACTGGTAAAAGAAAGAGTAATACCCAAGTTTTCAGAATTCATGCAGATAATAACATTATATATGCTTCTTGGTATTTCAATACAACACTCAGCTACAGTAAATACACATGCTTAGAAAGACAAAGCTCACAAAACATGAACTTGTGTATTTAAATCAAAGTATTAATTCATAAAACAAAGACATGGTCAAATTTTCACACTGCCTAGTAATTTATAGAAAGACACTTACAGTCTTCAAGAAGTTTTGCTTTTTTCCCATCAATATCAGCAGGTAAGTGGGCAAAGAGGATTAAAGAAAATCAGATGTTAATATTAAGAACGTTAGAACCCTGAAGATAAATGGGCATCTTGTCTATTTGATTTGATCTAAGAAAACCCATATAGTGAAGGCTAAAGTTGTGAAACTGCAAGAGGAAGAAATTTGCATTAACTATTTCCTTTAATCTTGCAGTGGCTTTCCCACATAAACATATGGAAGAACAAAAGCAATGCTGTAGGCAAAAATGGGTTCTTACAGGAGTAGGAATGGTGAATTCCATTCTATATATGTTGTGCTGGACAAGTAATTATGTTCAATTTGAAAAATAGCTGAAATCTACAATTAATTTGAGTTGTCACATACTGTGTTGTGTCTGGTCATATTATCCCAGACATCCCTATGCATATGGTAATCACACCTAACAATGGGACATTGCTACAATGACAATGCTCCATGCAAGCCAAGTCCAACACTAATTTTAGGTTTTTATATTTCTATGGTTAATCTCCAAAGTTATTAATTGAACTTTTTAGACTTAGCAGATTTCTGCTTCAGAACTTCTCAATCACCCAGGGGTTACTGGTGCCTACATTAAGGAGGTGTTCATGTAGTAGAGAAACAATGTAAGAAATAGGGGCAGGGAAGAAATTACATTAGCATGCAATTCAAATCATCCCACAGTGCTGCCTGTTGTTACTACTTGCAAAGGTTAATGATAGGAACACCTGGGTTATCCGTGACTTTCTTTTCATCATGGTTATGCCTCTTCTCCATTAGCAGTGATAATTGAGTTAGCCGTAGGTGACTGTTTCCCTCTGATTGTTAGACTGAACAGTGAGATTAAGGGGAATATATTTAATATAAGAGAGTGCAAAATCATTTCTTTCAAGTGCTTTTCTTTCTCTCTTGTGTATCTGGCAGGGCAAATGCTTACTTAGGCATTTCCACTCCAATGGGCTTAAGCAGTTGTATATTGTTTTTGGAAAATTGAAATTAAGGTCATTGGATGCATTAAAAAAAAAAAACTAAGAAAAACATTGCATTTTGTTGTACTTTACAGAAGCACAGCCAAAAGTCGACAAAGTGTGGGACAAACCACATCTCTTCTTAATGTCTTCCCACTGGCATTTGCAACCTCTATGGCCACAGTAATAATAATAATAAATAAATAAATAAAAATGACATCCCAATAATTGAATAGCCCCTGCAGGAAAGTGCTTTTTTCCACCTTGGAAAGCTTGCCAAACAGATGTTCTATTCAGAAAGCAAATGGCTTCAAAGAGGTCATGCAGATGAGGGATAAAGCAGAAATCGATTCCGAAGTACAGTAATTGTCCAGGTTTGAAATTCTGCTTTCCATTGCAGTGAAAGTGACCAGGTGGAACCTAGCATTATCTTTTTCTTTCACAGACAGACCACCTATAGCAGGAGAGCACAGTGTATATTTTACTACAAGGAAAGTAGTGGGCTAATACAGTTGCTGTTGTTTGCTCCATGTTAGTGTTTTTGCAAATTACTTGTATTCTCAGCAGTTGTACTGGCATTTGGCCACAGTGTTTAAACCAAGACTATTTGCTAGGCTCTAGATAAGATACTTTTCCTAGTTCTAGACTCATATTTAAGATTCAGAATTGGAAAGGGAGACGTGCCTTGTGTGAATCAAGAGAAATGAATCATGGGGTTGTTTAGGGATTCTGAGGGGCATGGAGTTGGCAGAAGGAGCCTCCCCTCATCTTTGCAAAACATCCTCAGCATAGGACAGGCAAGGGTAAAGTGGTGAGGGGATGAGAGGGGAGGTCTCCATGATCATTTTAACGTGGCTTATATAGTTTTCTTGCGGGACTGCTTCTCTAAAGAGCCACCTGTTGGGATGATCAGACAGCTAGCACAACTCAATCCTTCTCAGGCCATCCCCAGCAGGGCAGACAAAAGGCACCTGAGCAGGAAGAAGGAGACCCAGAGGGAGGGAATTGTGAGTCTGACCATTTCAATGGCTACTTCTACAGTGGGAATCTTTAAAAACACCAGGTGCTGAAGGTACAAGCCAAATTAATTTTGATTAGCTTTTCAGTATCACACAGACACCTTCTCCATTCATGCAGTTCAGAGTGATGGTAAATGCTGGGAGGCTTTGACTCCTAGGCCTAACAGCTTTAAAATGTTAATACTTACGATCAAGAGGTACTTCCAGTGCACTAATCATCTGGCACAGGAAGAGAATCAGGGGCACTCTGCCCGCAGATAAGCGCTTCTTTTTCGGCATTATTTTAAGCTGCATTAGCTTAACTCCTGCTGAGACCCACAAACTGAATTTCTTTTTCTTCTTTCACAAAAGACTTTGTGAAACGTTGTGTGCAATGTTTAAGTAATTTTCATGCAGGAAACTGAAAAAGGATAGAGTAGGAATAATAATTATAATGTATTAAAAAGAAGGAAATGAAGAGTGGAAGTCTGTGGCACAGAGAACCAGCCCTGCATTATACATGAACTCTAAAAGTAAGTTAACTTTTAAATATTTAACTCTCAAGACTGGAATAATCATCTATTCATAAGTCATCTAAAATCAGTTCAGAGATACTAGTGATGTGAAGCAAAATCTGTCTGCCATCCTTATGACTTTTCCATTTTAAATGGTATTTGTATTTCGAGCGTTCAGAGGCTATCATGTCTTTCCCAACGGATCAGGAAAACTTGGCTTTTTAAGCTGGTTAGACAGCAATCACCTTGTGACTTTACAGGGGAGGCCTAATGGCTTCTCCATTCTACAGATTATCTCTGGGAAAGTTCGGGGAATTGTAAATTTGCTTCAAAGCCAAAACACTGACTTATGAGGTGAACACTGACCATTCATATCTTCCCCATCTCCCACCTAGATCACAGCAATGAACCTGGCTGGGCTCTGAGTTCGGGCCTTCCTCACTGTAGTCACCCTCCTTCACAGTGCTAATTAATTTTTTCTACTAGGCCTCTTTGGTTAAATAATGGGAGTGGCCATATGTGACCTCTCAAATAAAGTCCAATGTATCTTTAAACAAGTACTTAAAAACCTCAGTGATCTGGGCTTAATTTCTCCTACAAACCTGACTTCCTTTTATTTCCATATAAATTATTTTTTTGGTTTGATGATTCATTTCTGTTTTTCTTTCTTGTGTCAGTCCTTCAATATGCCGCAAATTTTCCTGCCTGCTTGTCTTTGTTTATTCTACTTCATTTGCCTGGAATGCCTTTATCCACCATATTTTCTTATCAAAGTCCATTACAGATCAGTAAAAAGGTCACCTCCAGGAAACATGAGCTGATCACCAGAACTAGAAGTTATTTCACCACCATCCCTGAATCCCTGAAATTCCTTGTTTTAAACATCACATATATAGATATATATTAATAAATAGGCCGTGAGTGTACACAAAAGGTATACATGCTCTCTACTCCTCCAGGCAAGGATTTTGTCTCTCTGATCTTCGTAGCCCTCTCCCATCACCTAATATAGCATCCTTTGCATATTGGAAGTGTCCACTGCATACTGGAGAGCACGAGCACAAACACATTCATAGACCACTGAGATCTATCCCACAGCAAACTCTTACCTGAAGTGATAGCTTCAATCATGTCCTCTCATTAACGAAGAGAGGTGGGGTGACCAATGGCTCTCTCAAGAAGGTGGAAGGTTGTTATTATTACAAACTGGTGTAGCTGCCACAAGTTTAAGTACTGAATTATTTATGTAACTTTTTTTGTATAATTGTATATTTTTATAATGTCCATCTTTCCCAATAAACTGCACATCTCCTCAGGGCAGGGACAACATCTGTCCTATCCCCCACTGTATCCTCATAGCCCACTGCAACACCTGGCACATGGTAGGTAGTAAAGAAATATTTGGAGGAAAACAAATAATAAATGAAAGGAGAAAAGGGGGTAAAAAAGGAGACTTTACAATCTTCGAAGCTGAGGTTGCATTTGGATTGTCTGGCAATCATCTACCCAAGGCTGTATTTATATTTATACCACTTGGTTTAAAAACCAGGCTCCTGTTAATATGATCAAATTAGTTGTAAGATCATGTCTGTGTGGGGAATAGAGCTTAAATGTCAACAGGAAAATGAAATAATCCTAATAACATATTTTGCTAGCAATCAAGTTCTGATTTGAACATAATTAAAATTGTAGTAGCACACTTCTTGCAAAACAAATTGAAAAAGAATATGCTAGGCCAGGCATGGTGGCTCATGCCTGTAATCCCACCACTTTGGGAGGCTCAGGTGGGTGGATCACCTGAGGTCAGGAGTTTGAGACCACCCTGGCCAACATGGTGAAATCCCGTCTCTACTAAAAATGCAATAATTAACTGGGTGGGATGGTGGGTGGGGATAATCCCAGCTACTTGGGAGGCTGAGGTGGGAGAATTGCTTGAACCCAGGAGGTGGGGGCTGAAGTGAGTGAGATTGCACCACTGTACTCCAGCCTGAGTGAGAGAGCAAGACCCCATCTCAAAAAAAAAAAAAAGTTAAACAGAAACATTATCCTTACATAAATACTATTTTGTGAATAAAACATCCATACTATGTGGCTTCAATTAAGAGCCAGGAAATGTCTTTCCATATTATAATATCCAAGCATTCATGTCCATTAAGCATTGAGACCCAGGTACAAAAGCTCACTCAACCATTTCTGAACAAATACAAATCTGACTATCTTCCTGCATGTGCAAAGTACATCTAGATCATTTAGTCAAATTTAATTAGGTCTCTCATGAGTTTTTGGTTGAAACACTAATTTTGAATTCACATAAGCTTTAGGGAAGATAAAAATAAATGTCACAAATGGCACTAAAACACGTGGATCTTACATATTATATATATTGAGATAAACAAAAGAGCCAAACTCTGAAGAGGAAAACATTTTATTTGTCTGATTTCTGTGTCACGCTAATGAAGATTATTGAACCTAAGTGCCAAGTTCTCCAGACAGGAGCTGGAGAACTGATATACTTCCCAATAGATGTACTAACAAATTGTAACACCTGTAAGCTCTTAAACAGCTACATACAATTTCGATTGTAAGTTCTTCATGTATTTAGCCTGGATGCATTAACTATTCACCCTCCAATATGGAGAAAATCCTTAGACAAATTCATATAAAAGAAAATATCAATCAACCTCTATGCTTTTTCAGAGTATACATGGAGTAAACTATTACACATCAAATCACAGTGTTTTATTTTTAAAAATTACATTTTTAAGAAAAATTGAAAGCACTTACTTAAAGAGACATGAGTAAATAAATCCTCATACTGCTGGGAAGGTCATGAACTATGATAACAGAAGATGAGCGCTCTCCTCAGAAGTTTTAAGTTACACTGCACCATTAGCCACAGATCTTCTCTAGTGTAGGTTCTGTTAGAGGAGGACAAAGCAATGATCCAGCCCATCCTCTGGCTCCTGCCCATGGAAAATCACCCACTCCTGCAAAGTATGCCCTTATGTGTGAAAGTCCAAATGCCTAAGAACAGCATTAAGTCCCCAGCACTCAATCAAACTGAAAATCAAATAGAGCTACAGAAGATTGAACTTTCTCTCAGTGAGAGTAATGTACTCTGCACACTGCACAAAGAAAAACCATTGCTTTGCACTCTCAGTATTGACGTCAATGCCTTGACTCAGGAGGAGCGCATCTGTCTTGTACTTTACCTTGGAAAATGATCGTCATTCTTCATTAAATAAGAATCACGAACTAAAACTAAATTGTTAATGTAATTATACTACGATGAATAAATCCCAATTTGAAATAGCAGCATGATTTTTAATCTAGGCTAAGGAGTTTGTTAGTGCAATATAGCTTACAATGTGCAAAAAATATTTGCCATAGACATTTTAAGGCATGATTGAATGAGACAAAGAGTAGGTTTGTCTTCTGATAAATAGATCACCTTGATATTTAAAATCACACATTCTGCTAAAAGGACTGAGAGTAATGATAAACAGCAAAGCTTTTTCATAGCTCATTTCATATAACTCCATTCAGAGCAACTTTTCATATGTCACCTATAGAATGTGTGAAACAGAAGTGGGGGAAAATGCCTTCCTTGGCAAACTTTTTATCATTAGAAAATAAATGCAATTCAAGGTTTCCTTATTTCTTTTGCTTCACATTCATATTAAATCATAGAGAAAATATTCCCCTGCATTACTTACTATGTATTTCAAAAGAAAACCTTACAGTTTTGACGAAGGAGTCACATCAAACCTGAGGGAAACAGCTCTCCTGTTGCTTACTTAAGAAGTCTTGTCTTTAGAAAGAAAATGAAACCTTTCTTTTTCTCTCAAATGAAGGATGAAATTATTTTAATTAAAAAAATCAGCTCTCTACCAGAATTCGAAGGCCATGCATTACTTGCCATTTCATTCTGCTCTATTTGGGCTTTTCAGCATCCCAAAATGGGTGGGTTCCACGCTGGTTGAACACAGAACATGATCTATAACTCTCCAAGCAGATAAGCAAATATGCTTATGTGATTAGATGCCCTTTGACACACTAATTATTGCTCTGATGCCTCATCAGTGACTCACATCAGTGACTGGATAACTAAGTGGGTATGACATCATCTTGACCATGAAAGGCATTTTTCAGCAGTCAACTTGAGGATGGTCACTTTTTATATTTTAAAGATTTTCCATAAGGAAGAAGCACATGAATGCATACTCCTAGCCCATGCTGTGCTTTTCAATCACAGACTTTGAGTCTGAGACTGTGGAGGAAAGGTTAGAAAGAAATGGGCAATGATAACTAATAATGAACACATCAACAGAGTCACGGTTACATCTAAACAACTGCACAATCATGAATGTACCCCAGAAAAAAGTAGTCTGGGATAACAGGACTATAGAGCTGATAATGATCAAACAAGACAAACTGTGTGAAACTTTAAGAACCATCTTTCTAATTTCTTGCTTGTTTAAAGGAATCTTCCATAGTAGAGCCTCTACTAAGAATTTAGGAACTAGAACCCGGAATAGTACCCAAGGAATGGTGAACAATGAACAGGTGGTTTGTACCCAAATAACAGATGATGGAACAACATCTTAATAATAGCTCAAAATCTCTACACCTTAGAGCACTATAACTAATTATCTTATGTGATATTCACAAAAACCCCAGAAAACAGAAAAACAGGTATTTCTATCCATTTACCAGACAAGGAAAAAATCCAACTGGCCACCATTCACTGAGCCTTTTCCATGTCCCAGACATGGCGATGAGTCCCCTCCAGGCATTAACTTGTCTTCCCAGCAATCCCAGAAGGTAACTTCTATTACATTTCTCAATTGACTGATAAGGAATCCAAGGCATAGGATGGTGTCACTTGCTTAAGGACACACATGATACGTGAAGTACCTGATCTAGAGCTCCAGTTCTGGAATGTTCTGGAGCTTTTAGCCACCTCACACTGTCACACCCCAAGAGGTCGCTAGCATTTCCCTCCCTCCCGTATCCTCTTAATTTGTAATTAGTCAATAAGCAAACAGAATTACCAAGTTTAGTTACTGATGTTACAAAAGAAAACCTCTAATGGTTTCTGAATATCTATGGAAGATCTTTACAATGTTGTCCATGGCACAACTTTAGGAGATTCTTCACACCGGATTCCATGTGAATAGTACCCCATGGACTTCTACTACACGTGGGCCCTGGCCTAGTAAAGGAAGAACAATTTTAGACAACGTAGACAAGATGTACTTTAAAAATAGTCAGTGTGTGCACATGGTACAATATTCATAAAGTACAAAAGACCATAGAGTGCAAAGCAAGCAATGAGCAACCCCCTTTCTCTCTTAGGAAGCCAGCATTATTACCAAGTTTTGTGAATCCTTCTAGAGAGAGTTCAGGCATAAAGAAACATATAAATATGTTAAGCAATAGTTTAAGGGCATTTTAGAATTAGAAAATTATTAAAAAGCTTTTGGGACACTGATGTTAGATCACCAAAATTACCAAGGTCTTTCAATGAAATCTAGTTATTTGCAACACACATGATCATCTGAATACAGGATTTCCACATCTCTTTTACTTAGCACAGTAATAACAAAAAAGAAAATAGAACAATATGAGACAATGATTTAACTAAGAGATCTAAGACAAAGGATGAATCACAGTTAATGAAAAGCTCACGTGTGTGAGATGAATAGCAACCCTGATCATGTATGGCACCTGTTCCACACTTTCAAGGCTTGTCCAGGCAGCTACCTGATGACGGTTGTCAGGAGTGGCTTCAGGGATGAGAAAGTTGATTGGGAAAGGAAAGACGGCTGGGTAAAGAGAGGAAGGAACTAGTTCTTTGCAAAGGAAAGGAATTTCCTTCTTCATTCCACCTTCCAATCCAATCAGAATTCACTAAGCAGAGTTGGGAGGGGACTGCTGCACTCTGAATGGCTGCCAGGCTCACAGTCTTTCTTCTGCATTGACCTCATCACTCTGACCAAGGCAAAAAGAATCAGGGTGGGTGTTCCGCCTCCGTCTGAACAAAGGAAGGGAGCCGTGTACAGCCTGTGAGTTGACTTGGCTGCTTGAAAGGGACTGAAGAGTGACCAACTAAGTGGTAACAAATTCCTTTCTCATAGAGAGGGTGAATGTGAGACAGAGGGAGAGAGTGAGTCAGCGGTTTGGAGCAGAAACAAAAGCCAAAGGTCAAATCAAGGCAAGGCAGTAGGAGCAATCATGAGTAAGCAAAAGATATGAGGCGTCAAGTGCAGAAAAAGGCCAGTGGGCAGCAGAGGATCAACAGAAACAGAGAAAGAGAAGAACTGAGTGGTCATGACATCAGCAGAACACTGGATCAGTGATAACAAGCACCTACTACTCTTGTACTGCAATCGCCAGGCCTCTAAATCTCTTGGTACCCTAAACAACATTCCAGTTCTCTAAGAAGTTTGCCACACTAGTGACTGAGGTTGAGACATCTTCCTGTCTTGTGTATTCTACAACAAAGTTTCATTAATATGGTAGGTGGTCTGTTGCACTGGTGGCCCCAGGAAGCAGCCCCCTAGTATCCATGCCCTTGCATAGTCTCCTCATACAATAGGCTTAGCCATGTCATGTGCTTTGGCCAGTGGGATGTTTAGCAAGCATTATGTGAACAGAGATGTAATGACCATTTGCACACTACAGCTTATCCTCTTGTAATAGTCCCTCTGGGAAGTATGAGCTGTATTACTGATGATGAGAAGCCAGTGGAAAGATACCTGGGAGATGAGAGATCATCCTGGACTCTCTGGCCCCAGCTGGGCTCCCAGCTAAAATAGCTGAGCCAGTGACTTGTTAAACTATATGCAACAGAAGAACCATCCTGTCAACCCTCAGGATTATGAGAAATAATAAACTGTTGTTGCTTTAAGTCACAAAATTTGGGAATGGTTTGTTATATAGCACAGATATCTGCAATGAGTTAAGATAAACTGAGATCGGCTGTTTCTTGCAACCAGAAACATACTAACATGCACATTTAGGAGGACTGATGATCCAAATGTGCAGGTCTCTTTTCAAAGTCTTGGCTAGAACCACAGGAATTCTAAATTAGTAAACAGTGTGGTGATGTAGACTTTTCTTCAAAACTAATCTAACCTTTTCAGTTTTTCTAGATTCTTCTCTGTAAATATGTTGGTGCAGCCAAAGGGCACATACTTAACTTACATTTCTCACACAAAACTTATAGTCAGAATAAATAAAAGGTGGTTAACACTATTATTTTAGCATAAATTTGTTTATGCCAAAATATTATTATTTTAGCATAATTGTAAATTATGCCTAATTTATTTTCTTAGGCACTATATTAATTTATTTCTAAAGCAGAATAGCAAAGATTAAGGCAGAGAACAGGATGAGAGAGTTCAACATTGTTAGTCTACCCCTCGTACTTTCCCATCTCCGTGAATTATACTAGAACTCTGGCTGATCATGGCCCCAGCTTCTATTCTCCTCACTCTCCCACAAGACAGGTCATCTGGAGAAAGCAGGGAGGAGAGAGGGGAAGGCCAAACCATAGAGACAGGCCTCTTCCTTCCTCACAAGGTCCATTTCTCAGCTGATGCCCTTCAGATTAGAAAATAGAAACAAAGTTCTATTTAAAACCAAAAATGGAAAGTAGGAAACTGCTCTAAAAGTGAGGTCTGAGAATTGAAAATTTAGTTCTGAATATGGGTCTTCAGAGCAACGTATTCAGAAACATTTGTAGAGTCACTGAAACAAGCTCTAGCTCTATTTATCTTCCTGTAAACTGAGATTTCTACAAATAGCACTGAGAAGATGTAAGGATCAGAAACAGTTTATTAAAAACTTAAGCAAAAAAAAGGCCCTTCAGGATATTAATATTCTAAACATGCTATACCTTATCCACGTGTCA